TTCTGGCTTCAAAAATCCTTGTTTGTCTCAAGAAGCAACTATTTTGCTTTCCAGATTCCCCAATTTCTCCTAAGTAATTTTGCTATATGGTTCTTCCAATTAAAACAAAATCACACCTAAGATAGCTTTCCATTTTCTGTCTGCTCTTGCACCACAAGTGGTACAAGTCAGTTATCCTCATTAAAGCTTCATTTACACCTAACCCAGTGTAATATGGCTGCAGTTGTTCTTGCCCTGTAGCAGCTCTCATGCCACTTCAGATAATGGTGCTTCTGTTCCTGTGATGAGGATGGGCCATTCGGTTAGGTAGAGTGGATGGTATGCACTTTTTTAAAGAAGGCTAGTGAAAACTGAAACTCTATATGTCATCTCAACTACATTGGGAAATCCGTGTCACCCAGTTCAGGCTGGGAAAAAATCAGAAGTTCATGATCAGACCACCTGAATTTGTTCCTTTCTGTAATGTCATACACACACACACACACACACACACACACACACAATTATTTACCATATTTGTACCCTGCCTTTCTCACCCCAAAGGGAACCCAAGGCAGCTTTACACATAGGCAAGAAATCAACAAGAATCTAGATAGCTAGCAAGGATTTGATGGATAGAATTCTCACCATATCCTTTTTGTAATGGGTAAAGCATAAAGCATTTTCACAACTATCTGAGCTCTTGCAGTAATGCTTTTCAGTCAGCCCTAGCTTACATTAAGACCTATCAATGGAAGTCCAAGATAGGAAACATACTACTGGATGATAATTCCCATCAGTTCCTATCAGGAAAGCCAAGGAGGGAATTGATTATCTCAAGAAGATCTCAGTGTGGCTGTTGGTTCTCCATGGTTCCCTAGCTGTATTCTCTAGGATAACAGGATATGCAGTCTTGAAAACAAACCCTCTTTCAAGCTCTATCCTCACTCAGCATTCACACTCAAGACATTAACATTGGTATCACATAGAAAAGTTGTGGCTGAGCTGGTTCATCTCCAGATACCAGAATCTGAATAATCGACTCAGTATCTGAATACAATAGTTTCAACTGCCTAAAAATAAGTTGTGTGTAAAAACCTATTTGCACTTCGAAGTACTGAAAACACATTCCTTTCTTTCTTGAAATCAATACTTAAGCTATCTGATTTGGGAGGCTGGATAACAATATGCCAGAGATTAGCACCATATTTGTGCCCTATGATAGCAAGGGACACAAATTCCTATAAAAGCACTACAAATGGATTAATAACAGGTCATGGACCACCACTTTGAGTACCACTGCTTTAAAATGAATGCAAAATAGAAGGAACATGCAGCACGGTATGATTGTGACTTTCCTGGGAACCAGATGCACCAAATATTCTCAAGAAATGCATTTATTTGCATTACTTTATGATAATCTAGTTCTGAAACTGGGCTTTAAGAAGTCAAGCTTCCTCACAGTCATATAACCCAGAATATCAAGGCAGGTGATCCACAATATCTGCTCTGAACTGGGTTATCTGAGTCCACACTGCCATATAACCCAGTTAAAAGTAGGTAATGTAGAACTCTATGCAGCTTTGTAGAAGGGGCCCTAGATATAAAGTAAATGCAGAAACTCCCACATTTCTAAAAATGTAAATAGTGGTTGTGGAGCCTGAGGGCTAAGTGTCAACAGGACCAAAGCAGACCACAGCAGACCACCCATGATTCCATTGCTGATCACAATTGCTATCTACACACACACATTGCTTTTATTTAGCCCACTAACACTGCATCAAGCCTGGCCCTAAAAGTATAAGCAGAGACAGCCAACAACGGGCCATTGTACTTGAGTCCCCTTAAAATCAGAGCAGCTCAACTAGTCATGCAGGGCTCCATATTAACTCTAAACCCAGAAGTTCATTTCCATTTTCAGAATGGATTTATTCTTGTTGTGGTGGTTATGGTGCCTTGAAGATGATTAATACACACCAGTAAAGAAGCTAGCTATCAATTTAATTGTGTAACTCAGCCCAAAGGGAGCTATGAGAGGAGCAAATCAGAATGAAACTTGACATGGATTGAAGTAGACTAGAGAGACCTTTCAGTGGATGGCTTAATTCAGAGCTTGAAACTGACAGGCAGCAAGTTTCACTCTGGTAGGCTGGAACAACTACCCCTTGTTCCTTTACACACTCCCCTTCACACACACACACACACACACACCTCTTTCTCTTACACATACTTTTTTTGTTCTTATAAGCCTTACAAATTCAACCCTAGGAGGCTATAACAGTTTCCAACTCTCTTTATGTATGTATGTATTTACTGTTTTTCTATCCTGCCATATCTCACCCCAAGGCAGGGTGGGGAGGGGACTCTGAGCAGCTTACAACTTGGCACAAGTTAAAAACTCTTGCATCTTTCAGGTGGGGAAGAATACAACTCCCTCATTCTGAGACATACCACCTGAGGATGATGGGCACTGTAGTCTAATGAATGGGTGGGAAGGGGGCAGAGGCTGGGGAAAGATAGGCTACAGCAATGTACACAGAAACACTGACATGCTATGGTTTGAAACGAAAAGGGGGGGGGGAACTAAATAGATTTCTTTCCTAGCTTTGTCAGGAGGGGATTTTTTTCCTTGTAGTTCACACTATAGCTTTCAGGTGTGCAGCATTTTCAACCCCTTTCCCTCAGGTGAAGCCATTCTTTCTTTCATGCTTTACAGGTGCTTAACGGGGGAGCCTGAATCCCACACGAAGCAGAGCACACTCTACTGGCACAAGGCAACTGCTAGCAACTCTTATTACCTTGCCAGGTAGAATTCAAATAAGAATCATTTCCTAGAAAATAAGAATAATTTTCTAAACAATAGCCTTACCCTGAGACAAGAAGACCACAACAGTGCTGCTAAATTAGTGCTGGTACCACATTTCCCCCCTCTACCTTTAAACTGAACCTGAGACACCTGAAAGACGCCTATCTATTCTCTCCAGACTGAAAGCCAATCTTTTCCATTTCTCACCTTAGCACCAGAAAACTACATTGCTGTAAAATGAATGCAGCTTGAGACCACTCTCAACTCTCCCGGCTCACTGCTTTGGGATCATGAGAGTTGTGGTTCGAAAAGGTCTTTAATTGAAGAGCACAAAGGACAACTCCCAGGATCCCCTCACATTGAGCTATGGCAATCCAATCCTAAAAGCGACTGGAAACTTGTTCAAGTGGCCTCAAACCGCATTGTGGAGATGCATCCTAAGAAGGACTAGAAGCGAGTTGTGGCTTCGCCTTTTCGGCTAAGGCAGTGGTTCTCAACCTTCCTAATGCTGTGACCCCTTAGTACAGTACCTCATGTTGTGGTGACCCCCAACCATAAAATTATTTTCATTGCTACTTCACAACTGTAATTTTGCTACTGTTATGAATTGTAATGTAAGTATCCAATATGCAAGATGTATTATCATTCATTGGACCACATTTGGTACAAAAATACACCATATGCCTTAATTTGAATACTGTTGGGGTTGGGGAGGGGAGATTGATTTTGTCATTTGAGAGTTGTAGTTTCTGGGATTTATAGTTCACCTATAACCAAAGAACAATGGAATTGAACTAACTTTGGCACACAGAACTCCCATGACCAAGAAAAAATACTGGAAGGCTTTGGTGGGAATTGACCTGGAGTATGGGAGTTATAGTTCACCTACATCCAGAGAACACTGTGGACTCAAACAATGATAGATATGGACCAAACTTGGCATGAATGCTTTATATGCCCAAATATGAACTCTAGTGGAGTCTGGGGAAAACAGACCTTGACATCTGGTAATTGCAGCTGCTGGGATTCATAGTTCGCCTACAATCAAAGAGCATTCTGAACCACACCAAGGACAGAACTGGGCCAAACTTCCCACACAGAACCTGCATGACCATACTGTGTTTTCTGATGGACTTTGGCGACCCCACTGACACCCCCAGAGACCCAACACCCAGGTTGAGAAACGCTGGGCTAAGGAGTGCCAATGACAAATTCCAGGCCCCCCCATAGCATTGAGCCATGACAATCCAATCCTAAAATGGATTAGGAACTTGTTCAAACAGCCTCAAACCTTGTTGTAGAGATGGATGCCAAGAAGCGAGTTGTGGCTTCACCTTTTCGGCTAAGGAGTACCAATGACAAATCCCAGGGACCCCATAGCATTGAGCTATGGCAATCCAATCCTAAAATGGATTGGGAACTTGTTCAAGCAGCCTCAAACTGCATAGTGGAGATGCATCTTAAGAAGGACTAGAAGCAAGTTGTGGCTTCACCTTTTCCGTTGTGTGTGTGTGTGTGTGTGTGTCAGGAGCGACCTGAGAAACTGCAAGTCGCTTCTGGTGTGAGTGAATTGGCTGTTTGCAAGGATGTTGGCCAGGGGACACACGGATGATTTGATGTTTTATCATCCTTGTGGGAGGCTTCTCTCATGTCCCTGCATGAGGAGCTGGAGCTGATAGAGGGAGCTCATCCGCCTCTCCTCAGATTCGAATTTGCGACCTGTCGGTCTTCAGTCCTGCCGGCACAGGGGTTTAACCCACTGCACCACCACCAATGGCATACCCCAGGGACCCCATATCATTGAGCTATAGCCATCCAATCCTAAAAGGGACTAAGAGCTTGCAGGGATGGACAACTTCTCTCACGTCGGTCTCCAAAGAGAGTGTGGAGGGAAGGAAGGAACCTCTGGGCAATGCCAGACCTCTCTTCTCCTTCCTTATTCGTTCTGATTTGTATATATATAGAGGGGGGGGGGGGAGAAGGGATGCTCTATTGCTCAACGGTACAATGAAGCAATTCATAAGGCTCAACTTCCCGAAGCGACGGCTGTTTTCCCGGAGAAGGTGGAAAGGAAACGATCCGGGCAAAGCGCGTATTTCTGTCTCTCTCCAAGGGGGAGGCTGAAGCCAAGAGGGAAGCAAAGCCATGCCATGGCACCCCCCTTGCGCCACGTATAGGCACCCTCGCCCCTCTTTCCCCGCATGTCCCACCTTACCTGCGATTTCCTGATAGGGGATATTGACCAGGCTGAATCCTTTGGCTTTGTACGCCTCGCGCACCTCTCCGCACCCGCGCGCCTTCACCTCCGCCGCCGCGGCCACCAGCCAGAGCAGCAGGAGCGGCAGCAGCAGAGCCCAAAGCTGCGCCCGGACCCAAGGAAGCATGGTCCCTTTTGGGGAAGCCACCCCGAGAGGCAGAAGGGGGCTGCCAGACCCCCTCCCTCCCCCTTCCCCTCTCCCCCGTCCAACTTGCTCCCCAAAAAGGCGTGCGTCCAATCCAAAACGGAGCGCGATCCTCCGGCTTCTTCAGCCTCTTCCGACAGAGCCCACCCGAAAGGAGACGCGCCCGGACAAAGTTTGAGCAGCCCACTGGGGAAGGGGAGGCTTCGAGGACAGCATCGGGCTCACGCCTCCTCGCCGAGGCTGCCTCCTCTGCCTCCTCTTCCTCCTCCTCCTCTATCTTAATCGGCTCCTGTTAAAAGTCCACAGGCTGGTTTGGAGCCCCCCCGTCAAGGCAAGGTGGCCCCTGCCGCCGCAGCCAACCCGCTTGGAGGCGCCCAGCCAAGCGGGGCTGGTGGAGGGCTTGCCTGGCGCGGAGAGGGCTTGCCTCTGGCTGGAGGCAGGCATCCAGGAAGGGCAGGGCTCGCCTGGAAAAGGAGCCGAGGGGAAAGCTCGCCAGAAAGGGAAGCACAGCCAGCCAGCAGCAGCAGCAGCAAGCTCCCGAAAAGCCAGAGCCGGAGACGCGCGCACGCCGCGCGAGCGAGCCAGCCAGCCAGCCGGCGAGGGAGAAACGTGCTCCCCATTGCCACTCCGAGGGACCACGAGGAGCGGGAAGGAAAACCTGGGGTGGATTGGATTCCCCCCCCCCCCCAAAAAGGAGAAGAATCTGGCGAGGACAGAGGGGTCCCCTCCCCAACACATTCGACGTTTTCACACAGCTCTCCACCAAGGGTGAAGGAAGAAGAAGAAGCAGCCTTTCTGGCACAGGCTCACCTGTGGATGGAAAGGACTGTGCTGTGAGCATTCAGGGGGCCACTTGGGGAGTTGGAGGCCTTGGGTGCAGGGAACACTCAGCCACCACGCAAGGCTTCTGCCATCTTCTTCACGTGGCCATGTGTTAGGATGTTCACAACAAGAAGGTGGCAGTAGTCTTGGACTCTTCGGCAGTTGGGTTGGTTTCTCCAGGAGTGACTGGTCTCATGCACTGGGTGAGACTTATTCTCACAACCACATAGTTGTCAAAAATACAGGCGCCCTCTCGTTATGAGCATCTATCTACACCAGTGGTTCCCAACCTTTTTTTTCACCAGGGATGACTTGAGCATGGACCACTTGACAGGAACCACTTGACCAGTGACCACATTGACCAGGGACCACTTTGACCAGGAACCACTTTGACCAGGGACCACTTTGACCAGGGACCTCTTGACCAGAGACCACTTGACCAGGGACCATGTTGACCAGGGACCACTTTGACCAGGGACCACTTGGCCAGAGACCACTTTGACCAGGAACACTTTGACCAGGGACCACTTTGACCAGGGACCTCTTGACCAGAGACCACTTGACCAGGGACCACTTTGACCAGGGACCTCTTGACCAGAGACCACTTGACCAGGGACCACTTTGACTAGGGACCACTTGAACAGAGACCACTTGACCAGGGACCACTTGACCAGGGACCACTTTGAGCAGGACCACTTGACCATGGACCACTTTGACCAGGACCACTTGAACAGAGACCACTTGACCCGGGGCCACTTTGACCAGGGACCACTCTCCAACATTAGTACCAAAAGGGTTACGAATCAGATTTTGGTTATTTCGGTTTGGTTATTTCAGGTGCTGATTCAGAAAATTGCATTGGGTAGACCACATCAGCTCTAGCTTCTTATAAAGAACACATGCCACCCAGTAGTGGCCATCTGCTTACCCACAGAAAACCATATTTAATAATCTTGACCAGTGACCACTTTGGCCAGAGACCACTTTGACCAGGACCACTTTGACCAGAAACGACTTTGATCAGGGACCACTGGTTGGGAACCACTGGTCTACAGTATCTACTTAGGGCAAATAAGCTCTATGGTGGTTAAAGGACACATGGGGCTGGTCAAGGTTAATATAGGCCAAAGCTGCTTAACTCAGCCTTGAACTGCAGGTTGTTCCCAAGGAATCTGAAGTAAACTGTTAGGAATTGTGGGAGTTGAAGTCCAAAACACCTGGAGAGCTGAAGTTTGTCCATCACTGACTCTTGTTTCACATATTAAGCTCATTTGAATCCTAATACCATGCAGCCGGGCAGCACAAAGGGACATATTGAGGGCATTGGCAGCCAATACGATTTCTGCACCCCAATTAATTTTTCCCCCCAGTCCTCAAATTTCTAGCATCTCAGTAACTTTAATCTTAAATTGAGCATATAGAAATACATTTTTTTGGAACCACTGAAAGGAAGCAAGCAAATGAGTTATTATAGGTTTTTCGGGCTATATGGCCATGTTCTAGAAGCATTCTCTCCTGATGTTTTGCCTGCAACTAAGGCAGGCATCCTCAGACATTGTGAGGTCTGTTAGAAACTAGGAAAATTGGGTTTATATATCTGTGGGATGTCCAGGGTGGGAGAAAACAAAGTTTAATAGAAAATATGAAAACAAACATAAGGAAAATGTATTGTCGAAGGCTTTCATGGCTGGAATCAGTGTCACAACCACCATGTCAGACTACACAGAGAAGCCATTGAAATCCACAAGCATGTGGACAATTTCAACAGAAAGGAGGAAACCATGAAAATGAACAAAATCTGGCTACCAGTATTAAAAAACTCTAAAATTAAAACAGCAAAACAGCAGAGGGAAAACAATCTGGGACATCTAATCACCTCTCAACAAAAGATTGCTCCAGGCACTTCCAGGCTATCAAATGCTAATCAAGATGGTCAGTTGAAACATTCACACCTAGCTCCAGCAGACAAGAGTCCTTTGTCCCACCCTGGTCATTCCACAGATATATAAACCCCTTTTTTCCTAGTTCCAACAGACCTCACTACCTCTGAAGATGCTTGCCATAGATGTAGGCGAAACATCAGGAGACAATGCCTCTAGAACTTGGCCATATAGCCCGAAAAAACCTACAACAACCCAAACATAAGGAAAAATGAAGTTGAAAAATAGTGAAAAGGCCATTTCTTTGTGAGATAATACCTCTCTAAAGCTCTCTAGCACAACTCTATGCTGAACATCTAGCAGAAGAAGGGCATAGTTTGTGCTGGACAACCTAGATGGTGTTTTTTGTACACAGAATGCTGTTTTATGTGCAAGACAACCACTCAAGAATTTTGAACAGAATAAATCAATAATTGCAAGTAGGCTTCCAAAATCATATGATTTTCAAAAATACCTTGCAGTAGGAGGAAATTTTTATATTGTTTGTTGCACCCTTCAATAAATTAGTTGTTATAAAGTCCAAAAGACAGTAATGCCATTTTGTTGGGGGGGAAGAAGGGAAGAATTGCAAATTGCTATTTTTAATTGGCACAACTAAAGATATGGCACAGTGGTGAGGACAAGGAGGTAAGCAAAATATAGCTAAGTAAATATGTTATGTAGCGGTTGAATCAAACAAAAGGATTGGTTTCAATATATTTTGTATGTAATGGGGGGGGGAGGGAGACAGGGAACACAAGGAGATTCTCTTTTTAAGTCAAAATAAAGAAGAAAAGCAAAATAAAAGTTGGATTTTTTTAAAAAAATGCTTCACCAATTCCCACTGGAGTAATCAATGTATCAGCTATGGCATCATAGATTTACAAAGCTTCTCAAAGAGGCTACTCTTAGAAACTGATTTTTGCATCTGCATTTTTAGATGGAAGGCTAGTAGAAACTGTTGGTTTCATCAGGCCTTTGATAATGACTAGTCTCAAGTCTCAAGCCTTTGGTCCAACAGTTAGGACTTGGCCTTGTACCCCATCCATTCCCCAGTCCCCTGCCATCTGAGGGCACCTTTTATCCCAGCCCAGACCTTTTGTATAGTCCATTAATTGGCCCTGGAATTGAGTGGCCCCAGTCTCCCCTAGTGGGGCCATTGCTGAGACCAATCCTTGCACTGTATTCTGCCAGCCCCATGTTTTCCTTTCTCCTTGCACTAGTCTTGACCCAGCCCATTCCAAATAGGCCCCTTATTGAAATCTTGGCCCCTGACAGCTTACCTTGCATGAAGAAGAGAGTGGAACTGGTTTTAAATTGATTTTAATGTATATGTTGTGTTAACAGTTTATACCTATGTTTTGTTTATATTGTATGTTTTTGTATTATGTTGCATATGTGGAACCTGCTCTGAGTCCCCTAGGGGAGATAAGGTGGTATATAAATAAATTATTATTATTATTATTATTATTATTATTATTATTATTAATTACAAGGCACTTGGCTGTAGTCTGATTCTTCCTAGTTAGAAAAAAGTGTGTGTGTGTGTGTGTGTGTGTGAGAGAGAGAGAGAGAGAGAGAGAGAATTACTAGTTGAAAGCATCATGTGAACCCCTTGTAAAATTCAATGAATTAAGCAGAATGGTATGATCATAGACTTATCTAGAACCACTGACTGTCACTTGATCATTGCCTAACCTGATAGAGTAATCAACAATGTTATGGGAAAGTACAACATTTCTGATGACTTGCTCCTGGAAAGCTCTTAAATATGTGGCGTTTTGGCCTACAACCAGCCAGTTTACCAGCTATTGGGATTTCTGGGAGTTGAGGGCCAAAACCCACAGGTTGTTAACCACTGTTAATGTACCCCCCTCACGTTTATGAATATGCACAATTATAATGTTTCCTTACTATCATATTCTGTTGTTCTGGCACTGAGCATTCTCCCAGCTACTTAGGAATTGCATAGAGATGACATCACATCTATCTCTATACAGAAGAGATGACATCACCTCTTTATGTAGACAGTCAGGTTTGGTTGTGTAGCATTATCACAGTGTTATCACCAAAGAACATTGCTATTACTGTGGGGAGAAAATAGCTATACAATTGGGCAATTTTCCCTTTCATCCCATCTTGTGTGACAGCACAAAATTGCCAGTCCTCACAGCACAATATAAAAAGTCAAGGAGTCTCACTTGTTCCCTGGACAACATGGAGACATGCTTATTTCCCTTGCCACAACTGATGAATAGTAAGCTCATCTCAGAAACCTCTGCCCTCACTCCCCAGAAAATATTCTGAAAGGGGGCAATCCTTTTCACAGCTCATTAAAGCAAAGCTATGAAGTCAGAATGGCATTTTGAGCCAGTTCCACTATGCTATGATGTTATAATAGTGATGTGTGGAAGGAAGGATTAATATTGCAACTAAACTTTGCCTACTCCATTTGCAGAGACAACTGGAATCTCTTCTGGTGCCTTATTCCAAGACATTGTGTTGCCTCATGTGTAAGAGAAGA